TGTTTGCATGTATGTAAGCACTACTGGATGGTTGAATTGCTTTTGTTTTATCTACTGTTGTAATACCACGATGCAGGCACAAAACGGAGACTTGGGAAATCTGCTCCAGAATGTATACTGACTATTGTTATGAGGTCAGGATTTAACTTGAAAACTACCTTAAGTACTGGAAAGGGAGTTTGTAGTGTTATTTTTGATAAAGTGATGCAGAACTGAATTGTCTTGTTTGCAGAGAATAGAATTGTGTTTGACAGACATACACAGTGGCACTTGTATATTGTGGCAGAAAGTCAATGAAAGATATTAACCTGCTGAGAAGTTCAACTTTATTAAATATTAAGTGGGGGCACTGGAAGAAGCCGGTAGATGTGGAAGCAGAGTGTGAAGAAGGGCCAGGGTTTGTGGGGTGTTTAGGGTTAATATTTACTGAGCATCTGCCATGTGCTAGGTATTTTACTAGTTGCCTTACATATTTGCTTTCTTTTAATCTTTTTGACAGCTTTCTGGAAGGAGGGTGTTTTTGTGCATCTTTTACAGGTGGGGAAGCTGAGACCCAGACGGGTAAGTTTTTTAAGGTCGCATACAAGGGCCAGGACTTGAGTACAGTTCTAATTGTGAGTTCAGTGTTCCTTCAATTATTATTTTCATTGTTGTTGACTGAAGTTAAAAAGCCAGGCATGCTACTTTGGCCTTAAATCCCTCTAAGAAGTATCCGTGGGTTTAGAATGCAGTTTTGCACCAGTGATATTTCACCAAAACTTGAGGAATCAGCGCTCTCCAAACTGATACGTGAATTTGATGCAGCTGCAGTCATAATCGCAGCAGGCTTTTCTGCAGAAATTTACAAGCTGATTTGAAAATTTGTATAGAAATGAAGAGGACCTAGTGTATCAAAGGAATCTTGAAAATAAGAACTAGCATATTTCCATGCTGGAAGGAAATATCACTGTGTTCCTTTGGGGTGTAAATTTCTTGAATTCTCTTATAAGCTAGGCAGGACTAGCTTTTATATACTGGACTTGTATAAAGTTTAAATATATACACATTATACAGTGACTCTCCTAAACCATCTAAGTCAAATTCATCTTTCATATGTTGGCTGACTAATGATACGTTTTAATTACCTTCTGCCAGTGTGAGAAGGGGCCTGGGGACCGGAGGATGGTGGTATTTGTTTCCCTGTCCTCTCCCCACCTTCAACAAAGCTCCCCCTCTTACTCATAGGGGCCTTAAACTTTTTTCTTTACTGTAATTTCTTGTTATTTTTACCACCTCGTTTATGCCACTGATATTTTTCTTACAAACTTTGGGTGTGTAGCATATTTGAACATGCAGTTAGGAGTATTATACATTTATATGTAACAAAACTCAAAAACCATGGCCTGAAGCAAGTGGGAAGTTTATTTTCCCCGTTAACAAAAAGTGTAGCTAGAGTTAGAGGAGACTTTATGAAGGCTGAGTTCTCTTATATTTTGAACTAATGCAGCATCTTAGCAAGGATGCATCTGTGTCCGGGGAGAGGTGGCAGAGCCAGTGCCCAAATGTCCTCAGCAGTTTTCTCTGCCCTCAAGTTTTGAACGTTCCCCAAAACCCGCCTCCCTACAGTCTGCCCCCAACTCTGATTTAATACCCTGTTATCTAGGAGGTTTTAATATCAAGTGTATTCTGAGGCCTAGGAGCACAAATGCGCTTCTCCATGTGAGTCCTGTAAATGAGACTCTCTGCTCCCCTTCTCTAGCCAAGAGCTGATGCCTTATTCTCTTGTGTCTTTCAAAACGTCCTCCAGTTGCTCACCAAGCCCTTTTGATGGATTATCATTTATTTAGAAGTTGTTTCTGTTTCTTCTGTATTTCACTGGAATGACCCTAATCCCAAGCGGTAAGACATATCCACATCAGCTACTGATTGTGATTCCCGCTGCAGCTTCATTTCAGGTGTCCTTTAGGGTTATCTTTTAAATGTCTCACCTAACAGACACTTTCTTTGTAGAGCTTTTGTAGAGTATACCAGACAGGAAATAGCATTGTGCATTATTTAAGCACCTTTGACAGGATATATATATGTATCTTGGGGTCAGGACAGGTTAGTCTTTACAGTCTAATTTCTTTGGAAATACAGCAGTGAAATTTGCATTCTGGTCCCCTTCCCCTTCTCCACACACACACAACATAAAGTGGTAACTCCTTGCCTTGGTTGGGCAGAACTTCTTACCTTAATCCTCAGATAAGAGTTAACTATGATCCCCTAGAAGGTATAGTGACGTTCTTTATCATTACTTCCTAAGAGGAATTGCTTTTTAGATAATTAAGTAATTTTAGGTTATGTTCTTTTAAAAGGATGTATTCCTGTTGAATTGTTTTCCCCTAAAATCCATATGTTGAAGTCCTAACCTCCAGTACCTCAGAATGCAACCTTGTGTAGGTTTTTATAATCAAGTTAAAATGAGGTCATCAGTTGGCTCCTAATCCAATATAATTGATGTCCTTATAAAAAAAACTGGGAATTTGGAGACAGACATGCACACAGGGAGAACACCAGGTGAGCATGCGGGTGGCCTTCTGCAGGTCAAGGCGAGAGGCCTGGAACAGATCTTTCCATTCTAGCCTCAAGAACTGTGAGACAATAAATTGTGTGTTTAAGCCACCCAGTTTGTGGTCACAGCAGCTTTAGGAACTAATCCAGTCCCTTATGAAGATCCTTAATTGCCTTTAGTGAGAACTCTGAGATTCTGGTTGACTGTCAGTTCTTGATTTTTTGTGAGGATGTAGGGATTTGTTTTTTCCTAAACCCTTGTAATTAATTTAGCCTCTGGAGAAGCTGAGTTAGAGATCGATGTGTTTCCTAGTGACATAAGCCATACCTTTACCATGTAATGGATGGGCATTTTCACTTGTTTTAAGGACTGTGCAATACACTCTTCTCCCAGGGTTTCTTGAGTTGCCTTGTCACTTGAATGCCAGAATGCCCTTGCCTGTTGCATCAGAGCCGGCACAACTCTCTGTAGCACACACATGCCTCAGTCCTGGATCTGCATATTTGCACTCTCTTTAAGCCAGACAGTATGCACTGAATATGAGTCCTCAAATAGCTAGAGGAATTGTGTTCTTTCCAGATCTCACTGTACTGTGCTCCATGCTGTGAGCTTATTTAATTGAGAGAAATCTTCTTTGGGTGCTGTAGTTTAAAACTGAGTGTTGTCACCATGGAAAAATGAACTCCTTCCAGATTCTCACTTTGAGAAAATCATTGTTAGATGTGTTATTCAGCCAGGAACATACTGTACCAAGTTTATTAAAATTAGTTCAGTGCTTTGTTTCATTTTCTGGTATCAAATAGGGATATGGGAATAATGGTGAGTGTCATGGTAGTTTATGAAACGGTGAACATGGTACATACAGGGTTCTGTTAATAGAAAATAAACTTGGGGTTTTTTTCTTTAAGTATCTTTTTTATAAATTGATTTCAGAGAGAGGGCGAGAGAGATAGAAACATCAGTGATGAGGGAGTCATTGATCAGCTGTCTCTTTCATGCGCCCTACTGGGGACGGAGCCCGCAATCCGCGGTAATGGAACCTTGACCTCCTGCTTCATAGGTCAACGCGCAACCACTGAGCCACGCAGGCTAGGCAAATTTTTTTTCTTTAAATGCATACGTTATACTTATAGCAAAAAGAAGAAGTTTGGGGGGAAAATACTGATGAAAGCCATGTATTCTAACAAAAAATAAAAGATGTGATATAGATTGTTTTTAGAAAACATTCCAACGTCAATCATAATTTTTTACTGGCCTAATTTACTAGTGACTATTCTTTTTTAAAAAAGATTTTAGTTTTCGTATAAGGAGTGTAGGTAGTAGTCTAAAGAAGAGACTTTTGCGAAAAGCACTAGCATTAAGAGTATGGCTATCAAGTTAGTTTCTTTAATAGAAGGTAGCAATTCCTTTGAGTATTACTGAAAATTTCTTAGGACAGTCTCAGCGTTCTAAAGAGTCTGTAGTTATACACATACACATATTTTTGTTGTCACTTAAAAATCTTAGGCAGAAAGAAATTGCTAGAGTGACATTTCTTTTGATTGACCTCAGGCCTCTAGGTGACCCCATAGTGTCTCATGAGACCTGGCAGCCTTCTTTTTTCTGTGGAGGTCTCTTTGATGGTTCCAGTCTTCATTTCTTTCTAACTACGCTGAACTAGTGTTTAGGTCTTTAACCACACAGTTAATAACACTTAAATCTAGTTGTTTCACCAACTAGATCTCAGTTTTGTCACATGAAGGAATAATTTCTTATATTTGTGCTTTCCTATGAGAGGAGTACTCCAGTCTATACTGGTTAGTTATTCATCTCAAATTTAAAACTTTTTACTAGAACTAAATTTTTATTACGCAGCAAGGAGTTTGAATGAGTTTGTCACTGAACATACTCTTTTTAATCTTTAGAACTGTGAAAGAACACTGGGTTTTTCTTTGGCATTGATGTTTAATACTGGCTCAGAGACTTAAAAAGATTCGGAGACCTCACTTATGGTTGGCAGCATACCAGAGTAAGAATGTGGTCTGCAAGATCATCTGCCTAGGTTCTGATCTGACTTCCATTACTTTACTTTCTCTCTGTGACTCTTTATGACTCACTGTCTTTACTTGTGCAAGAGGAGTGACAGTCGTGGTTACTGCATGATTTGTTGTGAGGATTAATTGAGGTTTAAATTAGGTTTTATATATACAAAAATTAGATTTTATATATTTTTGTATATGCATCTATTATTATATATGCTTAGAAAAATTTTTAGGCTTAGGAAGTTCAAGTTGGCCTCAATAATAAAAATGTATAATGTGTTTTTTGTTTTTTAAAAAATATATCTTTATTGATTTCAGAGAGAGGAAGGAGAGGGAGAGAGAGAGGTGAAACATCAATGATGAGAGAGTCATTGANNCCCGGACAGGCTGTAATGTTTTAGAAGGAAATATTGTAATGTTCGTCATTATTCTGTTACCATTTCCAGGTCTGAAAACACAATGGCAGGAAACAGCCTTGTTCTACCCATCATCCTTTGGGGTCGCAAAGCACCGACACATTGCATCTCTGCGGTACTTTTAACAGATGACGGGGCCACAGTCGTAACCGGGTGCCATGACGGGCAGATATGTCTCTGGGATCTTTCAAAAGAATTGGAAGTGAGTATGTGAAATGCCTATTGTGCCTTTTTTAAAAAAAAAATGTATCTTTATTGATTTCGGAGACAGGAGGGAGTGGGAGAGAGAGAGACAGAAACATCAACTATGAGAGAGTCATTGATCAGCTGCCTCCTGCACGCCCCTGACTGGGGATTGAGCCCAGAACCCGAAACCCGGGCATGTGCCCTGACTGGGAATCGAACAGCCATCCCCTAAATCACAGGTCAGTGCTCAACCACTGGGCCACGCCTGGCCGGGCCCTATTGTGCTTTTTAAATATAAGAAACTACTTACTTGAGAACAACACAGATCTAGAATAACACTTGGCCTCATCATATATTTTCTGCGAAATACATCTTGACTAAAGTTGGTATTATGCGGATTGTTTACATTATTCATCAGAGTTGGCGTCTGCTGGCTTTTGGCTCTTTTCAAATAATATCTATCCTAAGTGGCATAATATATTACATGTATAATTTTTCACAAAACTTTTACCCATTTTGAAGGAGGCTTCCAAAAAGATTAAAAAACAAAGTGTACATTTTGTTGTATTTACTTTGAAAATCATTGTGTATTTATTGCCATTCTCTACTGCTCTGGATATGAGTGCACAATGTGCTCTGCTCCTAAGACCTCTTAGTGGACAGACTAGGAAAATAGGAGTTGGGGACATACACACACACACAGAGTTCACTTGATAACCTCCAATTCCAGTATCATACCGCAGGGTTTATTCTACTTTTCTCTTTTTTCATATTTTTAGCCTCCCTTTTCTGACAACTCTCCCCAGAAAATTTTCTGTAAAGGGGACCATAGAAAATGGGGTGATAGCTGGCCTGGAATATAGTGGCAAGAAAGTTGACTTTTTAAGTAAATTTTTCTTTTTTTTTGATAACAGTCTTACTGAGATAAGATTTGCATACCATACAATTTACTCATTTACAGTGTACAATTTGATGATTTTTAATATGTTTAAAAAGTTGTAGAACCATTATCACAGTCATTTTTAGAACATTTCATTACCTCAAAAACAAACCCGGTACTCTTTAGCTGTCATTTTCAATAATTCATTCCACCCTAGGCAACAACTAATCTGTTTTTTTATCTTTTTCTTTTAAATATGTTTTTATTGATTTCAGAGAGAGGAAGGGAGAGGGATAGAGAGACAGAAACATTGATGATGAGAGAGTCATTTATCAGCTGCCTCCTGCACAACCCCTAGTGGGGATCGAGCCCCCCACCCAGGCATGTGCCCTGATTGGGAATTGAACTCTGATCTCCTGGTTCATGGGTCAGCCCTCAACCACTGAGCCATGCTGGCCGGGCTCTACTTTTTATTTTTATAGGTTTGCCTATTCTGGGCATTTCATAAAAATGGAATTATGTAATATGTGAGTTTTTTTGTGTGACTGTTTTTTTTTTCACTTAGCATAATATTTTCGAGGTTTATCCATGTTGTAGCATGTAACAATACCTCATTTCTGTTAATTGCCAAATATATTCCATTGTATGGGTATGCTCCATTTTATTTGTCTTTTTATCAGTTGATAGGCATTTGGGTTGTTTTCACTTTGGCCGTACTGAATAATGCTGCTGCGAACTTTTGTGTATGAGTCTGTGTGGACACGTTTTCATTGCTCTTAAGTATATACCTAGGTGTGAAATTGCTAGAACTGGAAAAATGACCCCCACACTTGGATAACATGTAAAGACTAGCTAGGTTAGGAGGTTGCAAAGTAACTAGAAATGAGGACTGATAGCAGACTTAATATGAATCGGCAATGCAGTGATGAGAAAAAAAAATCACACCACATTTTACTGAAATGATTATAAGCAGTTAAGATTTAACTTGTGAGCTCTTAGAGACAATCCTCTTACTGCACGGATTTCACTAGAATGTTGTATTTATTTAAGTTCAAGTAAGAGGGATAAAAGTGACTGAGGGGCACGTGAGAAGTTGAAGGAGGCAGCTAGGAGAGAAGTATATCTCTTGACAGACATTAAAGGAAGTGGACTGTTTACCCAGGGAGGAAAAGAAGGTTAAGTAAAAGGTGGCTTCGTTATTGTCTTTTGATATATATGGAGGGTCTTCTTAAGTGTTATACTTTCTAGCAACTGCTATTAAGGACCAGTAAGAAGAAATGCAGCGTTCAGCGGGAAGGCACAGAATGCCTTCTGTAGAGGTCATGGTATCTTCTCTTTTGCTAGGAAAGAATTCAAAACTGTAGCTAAAACTTTTGCCATCCATATCTTGGTCCCCATTTACCTGTGAAAAGGGCACCCTGGCCTAACCCAGTGGCAATAAAATGTTGGAGAAATGGCAGAAGCAGTAGTTGAGTGAGTACCTAGAGCGATGATCTTAGTAAAGGAGGATACTCTGAACTGTGCTTTTAGATCAGTGGGGCTGTTATTTAAAAAGCAAGGGAAGTTAAATTATTTTATATGCTAATTCACATTCTTAGCCTGATTTCTCAGTATACCCTAGCTTAGTGTTTAAGACCAGCTGCCCTGGCTTGAACCCTGGCTCCATCACCCTCAGAATGATACAGGGCAAGTATTGTCACCTCTCGGTGCTCCAATTTCATCTGCAGAACTACTTGGTAGGGTGATTGGGAGCATGAAATAGGTGGGAGTCACTGTTTTATTATTCTTAGTTTTTGGTATTCTGAGCAAGTCTTCTCAAATCTACATCTTTATATTTATATAAATATTTAACAGGACTCCTAAAAAAAAGGATTCATTTTTAAAAATGTGACACTTATATGAAACATGTTTGCGTATTTCTAGGTTAATCCTCGAGCACTGCTGTTTGGCCATACAGCATCAATCACCTGTCTGTCTAGAGCGTGTGCTTCTAGTGACAAACAGTACATTGTGAGTGCGTCTGAAAGTGGGTAAGCATTTCCTCATCGCCTTGTCCCTCAGGAGTCCTTATTACAAATGGTGCCAGTGTATCAGTAAGGAGGGAAGGGTTTTTCGTTTGTAGTATTTTAATAAATGCTTCAGTTGTCTAAATTTAAAGATATTTGAATATGTGGTTTTAAAAATGTGCATTTTATCTTTAGTAATGATTTTTATAATAGTTTTATTATAATTTATTTTTATGTCTTTACCTTGCTTTTGAGAAACTCAGAGTACCATAAAAGTTAAAGCCGGGCATTAGTCCCCATGGCATTGTCATTGAGTTGGCGGACAACTCTGAGAGTTTTAAAAAACCTGGTGGATGCTAGGCTAGTGTGAATTTGGTAGGTGAAGCCATGGAAAAGTTCATACAGTTATATTGATGTATGTTAACACGCTAGTGTAACCACGTATATTCCTGAGTCTCAGGATATAACTTGCTTTTGGAGAAACAGTTCATTGGACAGTAGTTGTAGGGTCCAGAGTATACGGAAGTTTTAAAACTTTTTTGGTGCTTAGGAAATTGTATATTTACACAATATGTTATTGAAGAGAATTATTTAAGAAGTTGTCTCCTCCACCCTCCTCATAATTTTATGAATTTGAAAAGAACCTTGTGTAACTGTTTGGAAAAAGAAGAGTCAGCATCAGGTAAAAATATAGTACCTTTTAGTCAGTTAAAGAACTCACATTAGAATACACAGTCTAAATAGATGGAGCTTTTTTTGAAAAATTGTTTCATACCATGTGAAATATAGGAAAGGGCATTTCAAAGAAAACCCCAATAATATCTGGATAACTGCATTTTATTAATGTTCTTTTCTATTAAAGAAATAAGTTTATTTCTTTAAAGGACACATCATTGACATTTCTGATTTTGAATGTTGTGTCTTTGTTTTGACACATAAGCTGTTTTGTTTGTATGCATTCAATAAAGCTTTTGCAATAAATACAGAATCAAAACTGGGATGTTATATTTCACTTGAAAAAGGTTTGGAATTCCTTTAACTTTAATTTTTATTTGTTTTTCTGCAATGCTAAATTTTCTAGCTATGTTGATAACCATCTCAGTGATATAAATGAAAAGATCATTTCTTGTTTTTGTCATTTGGGGCTCTGCTCTGCTTTGTTATTATCCTATCTCTGAGGTTGAGGTTGAGGGAGTAGCCACTGTCTGAAGCAGCCAGTGTCTGGAACGAAGGCAGAGGAGAAAGAGAGCTCTGGAGGGCCTTGCATCGGTTCTGGCCAGAACTACTCACAGAACTTCACCCACCGAAAGGGAGCCGGGAAGTGTGATCCCACCATGTGCCCAGAGAGAATGTGCACCAGGGCAGGGGTGGGCAGGTTGGAAAGGAGGTTGGGGTGGTGAGTGGGAGGACTAGAATTTTTGATGAATAGCACTAATTATTATACACTACTTTTTCTGAAATATATCAGTTTTAAGGGAAGATTACTTTTAAACCACTGCGACAAGGTTGAACAGTGCTTTTAAAAATCTGATTTAAAGTTAACTGTTATTTTGTTTTATAGAGAGATGTGTCTCTGGGATGTGAGTGATGGCAGATGTATTGAATTTACAAAATTAGCCTGCACACATACTGGCATACAGGTGAGTATCTCTTTCTGTAACTGCCTAAGTCAGCACAATTATTATAGGCATACAATTACAAACGTTTTTTAAGCATTGACCTATCTTTTTATATGAAAGCTGGGTGGAGGTGAAAAGAGGACTGGAATTGGAGTAGTGAAAGTGTTCCTTATATGATGGTCTGGCGGGGGAGAGAACAAGCAGAGGAGACTAATGGGGAAATACGTGACGTAAGCCTAGGGCACTGCCGCTCTGCCGTCTGATTGTCCTGGGTCCCAAGTGAGCTAGCTGGGCGAGTCCTCTCGATCCTCCGTAAGGGAATTCCTTCTTGCAGAAGCCTTTAGAGTGTCATTGATGACTGACACGCTCCGACCCACTGTACAGATCATATCCTCTTTATTATTTGTGTAGTTGGTCCTTAGTATACTTTTTGACTTTCCAGCTCTGTAGAAGAAATGACCATTTCATATGCTTGGTTTACACAAGAATTTACATGGGAATTTATACTTTCCAACTTACATTCCTAGTATTCTTTTTGCTCTTTCATAATTGTCAGGTTCTTTATGCTTCTGTTTACTTATCATTTGCTGGGTTGAGTGTTGGGAAAATTACAACTATGTAGAAAATATGATTTATGTTCTCAGTGGGGAAGGGGAGGGAAGAAGAAAACTCACATTTATTGAGCAAATACTGTATGAGCATTTCTTGTATGTCATTCTGTTTAGTCCTTCCCACATCCTTATGAATTAAACAGGAGTGTATAATTTTACACGTAAGGAAACTGAGACCCAGACTGATTAAATGACTTGTCCCTGGCTCACATGAGTCATTCCTGGTTCCAGGATCCCAAATCAAGTTTATCTGACTTTAGGGACTTTGTTCTTTCCATTACATCACACTGCCTCCCTTAAAATAACAAAAACAAAAACAAATCACAAATACAATAATTTGTTGCAGGAAAAAGCCTTTTGTGCCAACACAAATTAGAAAAACAATGGAAAATGTTTGGGGGGTGGTAATTAGCGTGGTAAAAGTCTTTTATGATGAATTCTTGGCCTGCCAAAAGCCTTTGAAAATTTCTTTTTCAGTGCTGTTGGGTGTATGCTTTTTATTTAAAGGGCATAAATTATTTATTTTTTTGTCATATGAAGAACCATCAGGTTTACAGAGAGAAATGGGGTAATAAAATGATGGAGGGTCATTGACTTTATAGATTAATTGAAAAATTATATATAAATGTCTTGAGCTCATTGGATATAAGTGTTTTGACTGTCACATAATTTTATGATTTAAAAACTTTTGGTTTATATTTGAGGAAAAATTATCTTCTTCATTTATTCAACATTTTTTCAGTGCCTACTATTTATCAGATCCTGTATTAAGCCTTCTGCATTTAAATTGGCAGCTGCCTCTAAGTGGAAGATGCTTTTTGGTGGGTTCACTAGTGTTTGACAGTTGTTTCCTGTGTGTTCTTTACCCTCTCAGGTCTAGAAGCAAGTGTTGTTTTTTTATACATGTAGAAATGGTAAACCTTGGTGACACTGGCACTTAGAAATCACAAAGAAATGCCAGCTTATTAAACTTACCACATAACAAATAAGGACATCCCTTTTTAAAAAAAAAAAAAAAAAAGATGTCTTTATTGATTTCAGAGAGAGGAAGAGAGAGGGAGAGAGAAATAGAAACATCAATGATGAGAGAGTCATTGATCCACCGCCACCTGCACCGCCCCGGACTGGGGATCGAGCCCACAGCCCGGGCATGTGCCCTGACTGAGAATTGAACCTTGATCGCCTGAATCCTAGGTTGATGCTCAACCGCTGAGCCATGCCTGGCCGGGCGCATCCCTTTTTAATATTTGGAAAACTTGTTTCTCCATTCAGGACACTTTCTTTGCCAGTATCAAAGTGTCTTAAGAAGCCAAATTAGTGTTCAAAAGATTGTTTGGGAGTATAGCTTTAAAGCCCAAGGTGAGAGGCACTTAGGCAGGCAGGTCTGATGAATTACCTTGCCCTCGGGAGAGAGCTCTTCTCCAGGTACTGTCCGGCACATGGCTTTCCTGGCTGGTGCTGGGTGATCAGTGACAGTTTGTTCCTCTGCACCTGTCCTTTGCTCCTTGACACATCCTTCCCTTATAAGGGTCAAGGTTACCTATGGTCACACTATTATATGGGAGTGCCCGGCAGTCCCTGGGGCCTCCTATGTGTTGTTTTTTGAATCAATCTTTCTTAAAGTTTCAGTGGTGCTGCCTTGCACTTGCTGAATGTGCTCCATGGTCTGATCAATGTTTATGTTTAAGCAGTTGCAGTCCTTCTTATGCAGGGTACTCCATATTTGAGGAACGATTGTATTTCTGCACATTCAATGTTGAGCTCTGAGAACAGGGCTCATGGGTGTGGGAGCAGATTGACCCGGGTTTTTTAGTAGTGCCCCCGTTGTGGAGTGGTTACAGCATTGCCCTTTGTGCTGTGGCTAGATCGCCCTCATATGATTCATAGAAGGTCCACTCCTTGGGAAGTGGTCATCTGGATATTAGACGTCTTTACCTTCTAAAAAGCCTGTAGTGGAATCAGTCTAGTAAGAGAGTTCTATTTCATGAGGCTAAGGGAAGATGGGTCCTTGATAAGTCATTGGTCTTGTTCTGAGAGCTGTTCTTCCTCCACCCTGTGGTGCATGGGAACTGATCTGACCCTTTAGACATATTCTTGGCATGAGTAACATGTAGCTTGTGATTGTATTGATTTTTCTTCTGTTTTTCGTCCACAAACTGTAAATGTGTACCATGAGAATGTTTAACAAGTTGTCTCACACTCTAGCCTGAAATAACACTTAGATTAATAAGAACTTACTTCGGATTGTAATATGTTTGAAGAGCAACATCTTAACTTCTAAATTTTATTTGATCATAACTAGTGATTATAATCCTATACTCACCTATTCCCATTCACCTAAAATTCATGTTATTTTTGTGACCAACCTTGAGCTTCCCCCTTGCTTTGGTTCCCAAAGCTGATTTTATTCTGGTGTTTTATTGCTTCACTCAGCAGTCCTGTTTTGGATGCTGCAGGAAGATAAAAACGAATTATTATCGTGAATTCTCCAAGGTAGTTTAGGGGGGTAGGATTAGGAAAAGGGCGTTTGTCAGGTATTTGAAATACTCAGGTAACATGTGTGTATGTGTACACATAGATATGTAACGTAGGCCATATGTTACATGTCTGCAAGTATTATTGAAGAAATTGAGCCTCGTGCTAAGCTTGATGAATGCATTGAATCAAGTGTCTTAAGTAAAGGAGAACATTTAAAATCTTTTTCCTTGTAGTTCTATCAGTTCTCTGTTGGAAATCAGAGAGAAGGAAGGCTTTTATGCCATGGCCATTATCCCGAAATCCTTGTTGTGGATGCCACCAGCCTTGAGGTGTTATACTCCTTAGTATCAAAGATATCTCCAGACTGGATTAGCTCCATGAGCATCATTCGATCCCACCGAACACAAGGTCAGTGTGTGGTGCCTTTTAGGCCCTCAGCACTATGACTTACTGGTTAATTCACTGTAGAGCTCTGTCATGTATCATGTATTAACATATTTGGTTATATTCTTCTATTTAAGAAATAACTAATTATTTATGGCCTGTCTCTACCTTCATAAAGGAATCTCTGATTGGATTAAGATTTAAAGTATTAGAGGGTGGCGGTGATTTTCTGCAGGGAAGGGCAAATAGCTGAACCCCTGTAGAACTGGTGGGAGGAACCATAGTTTCACCTGTGTATTTCTTGGGCCTGGTTTTGTCACTTGCTTAAGAGGCATAGGATGTGTTTCCATTTTATGTGAAAATAAGGAAAAGGAAGGGGATTGTGCACAGTTAAATTTAATGGAAGTTCCTGGTATGTTTGCTCCCTCACCCAAAGCTTATGAATTTAGGTTTTATGTCATGTGTTTCTCTTGATCACAACCTATGGAGGGTGTAATGTGCAATAAAATGTCAAGAAGACAGGCAAGGTAGGTGGGGAAGTGGGTAAACAAGTGCCTTGAAGAAATAAAGTGAGTCTGCTCATCTATGATAAATAACTTAAAATTATGAATTTTGAAGATAAAAGTTCTTTGTTCACATAGTGATCAAGAGCACTTGAAATTATTAAAAACTTGATTACAAATAAAAAAATGATTTAAAGTGGCTAGAAACAGTTTTCCCTTGAATTCCAAATTTTTGGTCATCTCAATTATGTTTCAAAATCTGGTTTCTGTTATTTTATGAAATATAGAATTATGTTTTTATGCCAGTTGTAAAACATACTGTTATTTAATTTAATTAAGGCAAACCATGTTCCATGTTACTGTTATAACCATGTTACTATTTAGAAACAGTGTATTGTATTTGTAACCTTGGCTTTCTGTTCCTTTTTGGCTTAGAGGACACAGTAGTAGCACTGTCAGTGACCGGCATCTTGAAGGTGTGGATTGTTACCTCGGAAATAAGTGGCATGCAGGTGAGACAAGTGAGACTGGATTAATTTCTCTTCTTATGGAGTCTTAAATTTTAGTAATGATAGGTGCCTTCTTTTCTTAAAGAGGAAGGGAAAGCTAATCTTTTTAATAGTCTTATTGACATAGTATAGAAGATCCCGTAGAATGCTGTCTCTGTAAGTAGGTTAAGTTTTTCACTTTTCATGGTAGACATTTGCTGTATCAAGGATAGAAACAGAGAAACATATTGCACAGGATAGGAAGTAAAGAAACATATAGAAAAGGTGGAATTTTCCTCAATGCTTCTATTTAAGTTAAAAGGTAGTTTGCCCTAGAGAAAAAAAAATGAAGCAAATCATCACAAAAAAGTATACAAAGCCAATTTTGGTTCTCTACCTCTGTTCTTTGGGCTTGAATTTCTTGATACTATTTATAGGAAAGCTGGATCAATTTTTTGACAATATTGGTGCTAATCTCTTGAGCTAGGGAATTTTTAGACATTGAATCTAGGAGGAATTGATCAGTTTTTTAAAACTTAAAGGCACATATAGCTACGGAAATTAGGGTTGACTCAAAACTTTTATCATCTGTTATTGCTAGAGTGATGATACTGATTCTCATCACTATTTTAATCTTGAGTAGCTTTGTAGCAAAGATGTCATGCCCAGATGTGTGTTTTTTTAATGTACTTTTATTGCTTTTTACTGTCTTGGTTCTCATGTAAGGGGCTAAAATCATGACCATATCAAGTCTTTATTTCATTTTTGTTTTCTTTATCATTGTGTGATAATTTTAATTAACCAAGCCATTCCTATAATTTTGCAAATCTTTCTCTTTTCAGGATACTGAGCCAATATTTGAGGAGGAATCCAAACCAATTTATTGTCAGAATTGCCAGAGCATCTCTTTTTGTGCATTCACACAGAGGTCACTTTTGGTTGTGTGCTCCAAATATTGGAGGGTAAGATCGGTACATAAGTAAGAAACTGCGTTTTCACCCTTCCATGTGTTGGTTTATCAGACTCCTGAAGATAAATGTCAGGAAAAGTTTGGTGCGAGAATGTTTTGACCATTTGGTATCACCTGTGACTTTGATGTCATGTTTTGAGGTGTTGGGACTGGCCATATGTAGTCGTCTTGTTTGTTTGTTTATAGAATGATTCAGTTAATGATTATTATTCTGTTGACCTGATTTCTGCTTTTGCTCCTGTTTTAGTTGTCATCTTGTCAGTGTAACATAATCAGCAGTAGTGAGTTTTCCGCAGGTTGACGTATCTTTGCAGGTTGTTATTATTCCCAGTTGCCATTCTGTCCTGACTTCTTGGAGTCAGGAACGTCTTCCTTCATCACTTCAGAGCTGGTGAAGGATTACATTGCTTCCACATTGCAGACTTTAATATTTTCATAATAGAAAAAGAGCCAGCCTGCCCTGACCACTTGTACCAAAGCTGCCCATGTATTATTTCGTTTAATCCTTACAACTCAGAGGGGCAGTGTATTGCTTATCTAGTCCTGCATAATAAAACCCACTCCCACATAGCAGTTTAAACCACAGACACGTATCATCGCCCATCTGATACATGCATCACCACCCCACCTGTGGGTCAGCAATCCGGGCACAGCTCAGCTGGGTACCTGGCACAGGGTTTTCACAGGCTGCAATCAAGGTGTTGGCCGGGACTGCTGTCTCATCATAAAGCTCGCCTCGGGAGGGTCTGCTTCAGAGCTTACTCACATGACAGTTGGCAGGCCTCAGGTCCTCCTGGAGACATTCCTTCCTCTCCATGCGGGCCTCTCCGTAGGACCAGTCACAACATGGGCTCTCCCTCAGAGTGAGTGCCCCAGAGAATGTGTGGCCAAGACCCACCTAATCTTTTCTTTATTTTTAATCTTTATTGATTTCAGAGAGAGGAAGGGAAAGGAGAGAGAGAGAGAAACATCAATGATGAGAGAGCCATTGATTGGCTGTCTCCTGCACACGTCTGACTGGGGATCGAGCCCTCAACCCAGGCATATGCCCTGACCCAGAATCAAACCTTGATCTCCTGGGTCCTAGGTTGATGCTCAGCCGCAGAGCCACGCCCGGCCAGGCCTAATCTTGGAACTGAGATCTCATCACCTCTCCATGTTCAGTTGTCTAGAAGCAGCCACAAAATCCAGCACACACTTGGGAGAGTGTTAACAAGGGTGTGAATGCCAGGAGTCGGGGGATCAGTGCAGCAGTCCCAGCGGCTGCCTAACACAGCAGGAATTCATTCACTTTCCCCATTTTGCAGATGAGGCGATTGAGGCATAGGGGGATAAATAACCTGTCGAAGGTTCTAAGGTGGTGGAGTTGCTGGAGTACAGCTCAGGTGGTCTGACTGCAACAGCTCTCTTACTACCACACTGTTTACAACACAGACTAGGTTGTAAATTTCTTCTCCTTCCTGTAGGTATTTGATGCGGGAGACTATTCCCTGTTGTGTTCAGGCCCTAGTGAAAACGGACAGACATGGACTGGAGGTGACTTTGTATCGGCAGATAAAGTAATCATTTGGACTGAAAATGGGCAAAGTTATATTTACAAACTACCTGCCAGGTATTCAATAACTAATAAGTTAGGACTTTAATCAAAAGCAAGATTCTGAATTTGGGGTATAATTGGGAAATACGAAAACATGTATAGTGTCAATACTTAATACATGTTAAAAATACTCAGAACTTAAGTTAGACAAGTAATTCCAGTTTAACGTCTAAGTACAAAAATAGGAGGATTTTGAGATAGGGTATTTTAATGATGTTCATTATTCATTGCTAAGTTAACTATAATTTATAAATCCATTTTTTGTTCATGTCAGATGCCTCATCACATGGCCTGACAGAATATTTAATGTCAATATTTTAACTGAATATTGTATTTTTCTCATTTTCAGTTGTCTTCCAGCTAGTGATTCATTCCGCAGTGATGTGGGGAAAGCAGTTGAAAGTTTAATTCCTCCTGTACAACATAGCCTCTTGGATCGAGCAGATAAAGAGGTAAAATTCTTCAGGTATTATTTATAATTGTTAGTTACGTTGCAAAGTTTTCATTACTATATTTTTTGCTGTCTTTTGGTAGCTAATCATTTGAAAGGTTCAGTACAATTTAAGATACTGCATTAGACATTGTAAAATACTTTGACATGCTCAATTATAAGCACATTTTTAATATTTGCATATCTTAAAAGTAATATGCCTATAATACAGTACTCACCATTCTCTGAGAGTACAAGTGATCTAATACTGATTACATACTGGAAATGACTTTTTGATAAAGTTCATAGTGATGGTGTAAATTTATTTTACTCTGTCATGCAGTTATAAACACAGTGGCGGATGTAAGGCCCTTGTAGAAGGGCAAAGATCATGATGCAGTGATGCTCACTAATGACAGCTCGTTACCTGAACAAGGATTGCAGTGTCTCCCAAAACCATGGAGTGATTTAAATCATTAGGCTTTAGAAATGAACAATAAAAGAAAATTTTTCTCTATAAAAACCAAAGTTTATTATGATTTCTTAAAACTTGCAACAGCACTTAGTCCTGGGTTTTCAACTTTTAGTACTGGGTTTTCACTTGTAAGAAAGAAGCTTTGGTTTTGGAAATAAAGTTTCCTTTATTTCTAGGTTTCTACAGCTTTTTCATTCTGAAAATATTGTTCCATCTTTATGTGAAGGGATGAGGGGAAGGGAAGTATTATTTACAGTGAATATTTTGAATATACAGAATTTATGCATGTGTGTACAACTAAAATCCTCTATAATCAGTTCTTTATTCTCTTAAATTTCTACTTACTGCTCTTTAACCTAGACAGTCACCTCCAGTAAAATGAAGGGATAATGATTTTATAAAAAATATACATAAAACAAAACAAAATTAAGTACATTTCATGTTTTTTAAAATATCAGCTGCCCAATACATTTTAAATTAAAATATATCATTATGTGGTGTGAGATACCCATTTGTTGAAATATTGTTTATTAGAGCTGCTGTAGCAACTTCATCTTGTTCAGCATATTATTGATTAAAACTTTCAGTAATTTTCAGAATTTGAGAAAAGTCAAATAATTGATTATGCTTAATATATATATTTCTGTAGTCTAGTGCTTTTTAAGAAAACAGTTAATACCCAAACACAGTAATTAGATTATTTGTTAACTATAATTGTCAAAACTGAAGTCTATTTATTACTATTTTTCAGGATAAGATTCTGTTTTAATATTCAAGAATCTGTGAATGAATACTGTAAACTTTAATTTTAGGATTCTACAACTATTTAGAATTTTCAAATAAGTGATCTCACTGAAGGCACAAGATCTTAAGCAGAAAAATAATTTGTTTTAAAATGAAATTATCCATAAGACCCTAATGAATGGTTTTTGTTCCTAGTAGTTTATAGCTAATGTATCGGGCTAGGTTCAAATTGATTATGTAAATGTGACCAAGTGAAAAGTTGCACAGTTGGCTGAAGAATATACTCATTTTTAAAACTGGAGCCCTCCAGTTGCACAAGGTTGGTAGTTTACTTTTGTTGCTTCTCCTAGTGACTGATCAGGAATGGACAAAAGGCTAGGGTTAGCCAGTTCTCCCCTTTTGACCTTTTGAGTGGAGACTTTCCTTTTTGGTAAAGAGTGGTATGTCTTGAATTAATTTTTTAATGACAGACAGTTAAGTAAATTGCATTTTTGTGGTGATTAATCAGTTTTTATAAAGCAGCAAAAAACATATAAATACTAATTCTAGAGAAAGACTATATAATTCTTATTTTTTTGTGTAATACCGGGTTTGAATATTACCGGGTTTGACATGTACATCAGTGTTACAAAATTACATTAAAATATTGTTGAATACTCATGTTATAAGCACTTTTTTTTTTTTACTCTGGTACTGAGGGTAAGTACTTGACATCCTTATCTGAAAAAATGTGATTGTGTGAAATATTTTGATTAAAAAGACAGCTAAAGGTATTTGAACAATTTTTTTTCAGTTGCTAATTTGTCCTCCTGTTACTCGGTTCTTCTGTGGAGCCAGGGAATACTCCCCTAAACTCTTAATTCAGGGGGACTCTTCTGGAAGGCTGAGTATTTGGAACGTATCAGACACACCTGAGCAACAGGAAGATGAGGAAGGTGCTAGCAAATCAGGTACAGCACCTTCTCAATTCTTTTAACACCCTACCAGCCACTGAAGAACAAATTCATAACGTCATATGCCATTTTCTCCTTAGAATTAGGGTTGAGGACAGTTACCGTTCTTTGGTATATTACTAAATCAACTATAAGCACATTTGTTTTAATGTTTTTAATTTTCTTCTAACATGCGCAATGTTTTTCTTTCATACAAAACAAACCTCCACAGGGTTGGAAATGACAACGTCTGTCAGTTTGCAAGAAGCGTTTGATAAGCTCAGGCCGTACCCCGCCGGGATTATAGATCAGCTGAGCGTGCTGCCCAGCAGCAAGGAGCCTCTTAGGGTAACCGCGAGCGTGTACATTCCAGCGCACGGCCGGCTCGTGTGCGGCCGCGAGGACGGGAGCATCGTTATCGTGCCTGCCACGCAGACGGCCATCGTGCAGCTGCTGCAGGGGGAGCACACGCTCCGGCGAGGTACGCCGAGGACCTCCCGGGGCCTGAGGTGTCCAGAGAGCCCCGGGACCGTGACGGGGCAGTGTTGGCGCTGCAGCGAACCAGTGTAGTCGTTAGTGTGCTGTGCAGCCCACAGAGTTTAATGGGCAGATAATGAAATGCTCAGTGCCTGTTCTTGCAATAAATGCCACCTCATGATGGTGAATAAAGAGGATCCAGTTTTTCCTCTTTAATGCATATTAAGAGTTCCATTTATTAATAGGTACCTCTGTGATTTACTAAATAATTACCATTATTGTCATTAATGCGGATAACCTTTTAGAACAATGCTGTCCAGTGGATATATA